TCTCACACCAGTTAGATATATAAAAACACTGACCAACATTAGAGGATTCGAACTACTCTGCTGTTGACCTCTTACGTTGGGAATCCAAGAACTAATAGCAAGGAAATGCATCAAAGCTGAAAAAACAAGTCAAATAAGTATGAAAAGAAAGCAAGGGACGGAGGGTGATCAAGTAGGAGGAATCAGTAATTTCTAACAGAGAAAAATTGCTTGCATTAAGATGAATAAAAACCTAATTTTGAACCGCCATTCAAGAAATATAATCATTAATCCGAGTGGAACATTCTGGTCTATCTAATATACTGCTTTCCACATTTACAAATAATTGCTTCTCCGTCCAGGTGTACATCTCCTTGGCCTCTGTACAAGCAACTACTTCAAGTTGGCACTTCGTTAGTGGACAAAGTGGGATGATTCTTGTTTTTCACTTGATTGAAATAGTCACCATTTCTGGTTTCTGTCTTGGTCCTGGTTTCTTGAACAGACAGATCATGATCGCATAGTCGTCTGCCTTCTTGTTCATTGGAAGAAATTTCAGGTTCTTGTTTTTCATGTGATTGCATATTCTCAAAGTGGGCATGTCCAAAAACTGTCTCGGCATACATCTCATTGGCCTCTGTACAAGCAACTACTTCAACTTGGCTACCTCCTGAACACAAAAGCATTTCATTAGTGGAACATTTTTAGTTTTCTGTAGAAATCTTGTTTTACACTGGATTGCCAAAAAAAAAAAAGGGAGGTTACCATTTCTATTTTCTGTTCAGACTTGGCTTCTTGAATGGAAAAACCATGATTCCATAGTTGTCTCCCCTCTTGTTCATCACAGAAAAGGCTGGGATCGTCTTTTACATTTGGTTGCAAATTCTCAGAGTGAGCAAGTCCTGATCCAGTCTCAGTATGGGCTTCATGAACAGACAAGTTATGATTGGATAATTGTCTAAGCTCTTTTTCATCAGACGAAATTACAGGGTCTTATTTTTCATATGATTGCATTTTACCAGAGAGAGCACGTCCGGATCTTGTCTCTGTATGGGCCTCTGGAAAATTCATGATTAGATAATCGTCTAAGCTCATGTTCATCAAATGAAATGTCAAGGCCTTGTTTTTCATGTGATTGCATATTCTCGGAGAGAGTACGTCTCGATCCTATCTCAGTATGTGCTTCTTGAACCAAAAACTCATGATTGAATAATCGTCTAAGCTCTTGTTCGTCAGATGAAATGTCAGGGTCTTGTTTTTCACATGATTCCATATTCTCAGAGTGAGCATGTCCCAATCCTGTCTCTATATGAGCTTCTAGAACAGACAAATCATGATTGGAAAATCGTCTATGCTCTTGTTCATCAGATGAACTGTTGGGGTCTTTTTTTTATGTGATTGAGAATTATCCAAGTCACGAAGTACGGTTCCTGTTTCAGTGTGGCTTCTTGAACAGACTGCATGGTTGAAAATTCTTCCTCAAGAGTTCCCATTTCTTCGGGATCATATGCTTCAGAAGTTGAAGCATCATTTGGTCTTGATGCACGCAAATTATTTCTTAATGCTACAAGATAGAGCATGTTTGGTGTTACATTTCTCTTACTTTAAAACAAAGCCAAACATTTAAACGAGGATGGAAAAATCTAAAAAATAGAATCCTCACCATCTTCTTGATACATGGTATTCTATATTACACCCCACTCATTTATAGTCAAAGTCAAGGAACGATTTAGTCAAAGTCAAGAAATGATTTAGTCAAAGTCAAATAAGGACTTCAGCTGAATAAATGATTTTCGTGGGACTTAAATTACAATTACAAATACTTGGTGACTTGACTTGCAATTATTCAAAAGTTATCCATTAAACTTTGTACATATCTATCCATTTTCTCATTTGGAGGGAAAACAAAAAGAAGAGAACGAAACCATAGAGAAAAAGGAACTGAGAAGAGAAAAATAAGGAAGAGGTAGGTTCCAATTTTTCAAGCCTAGGTTCTCAATTTCTTAAATTTTTCCTTTGACTGAGAGTGGGGAGTATAAGAACATTGAATTATCTTTTAGGGTTTATGAAAATCTTGCTTAAACTCGAAGTTTAGCAAGAAGTGTTATTAACATGTATTTGAGGTTTTAAATAATAATTTAGTAAACAATTGAAAATTTGTGTTGAAGAAAGTAAAATTTTGAAAGGGGTTTATGAGATAAAGACATATTCTTTGATTTTCTTGTGATTTTGTGGTGTTAAACACTTATTTTTCTCGTGATTTTGTGGTGTTAAAGCAATTTTAAGTTATTTTCGAGAAATTGGACACAGTTGTTGTTTTCGAAATTCTACCCAAAAAGCGCTGTTTTTGGGAAAAACTTTGGAGACAGTTTTCTATACACAGAAATTGGTGCTAGATTTCAATATTCTAGAAATATAGTGCTGTTTTTGGTAATCTTTTGATTTTCTTGGATTTTTTTAGTATGAAACCCAAATTAAGTGTTAAATATTGGGGATTAGGTGTGAAAATAATTTATATAAAGTAATATATGTTGTTAGTGACCCTAATTGGGATTATGAGATTGTAAATACAATATATCAAGTTCTTATTAGAAAAGTATTGTTTCTAATGGTAGGGAAATTGTTGAAGGCACCTTAGTGAAAAGATGTGGTTTATTGGGACGAGTACGAGACGTCATACTTGGTATTTGAATGTGAGGACGTGACAAGAAGATTGAAGTTGTGATTGATCTTCAACTTGGTGTGCGAAAAAATTTATATATTTTCAAACATTGATAAAGTACTTATACTATTATATTGCGTGCAATTATGAGAATTATTTGTTCAACTACATGACTAATAAGGAAAGGTTCTTTCACTATGATAACTATGGAATTAAAGATTGTATACGAATTAATTGTGAACTAGAATGTGAGATATGGGATATTGAGATCGACCAGAAAAACACCTGTGATTATATACTTCTTCTAATTCATAGAAGGGTATTGGTCGTGTTCTATCCTACTCCTACTCGAAGTGGTCTTGACCGAGTACATATAGTTCATAGAGATTCTATAATTGATTATCAGATGTCTTTGAAACTCGCTTTCGTTTACGGAGAGGGCTGAAGACCCGTGGCGAAAGTGCTTAGACCAATGGGTGGATTAGAGATTTTAGTCAAAATGTACGTTTTTGGTGGATTACATGTGATGATTATATGGATTTGAGTTGATAATTATATCATGACTATGAGATGATATTTTACAGCGTTTTGGAGATGCCTCAAATCTTGACTATTATTATATGTTGTTGTAGTGTGAACTGTTAAATGATGTCAACTTGATTTTCGATAAAACGTATAAATGAAAAAATATAATTATTTTCGAACTTCTCCACTCGCTGAGCTATGAACTCATATATTTTTAATGATTCTTTCTACATGTAGCAACTGGTTCTTAATAGCTTGAGGAGCCCGATATTTCAAAGTTAGAGCCACACGAAATATTGAGTTATACGATTCATTTTGGTAGAGCACGAAGTAATTAATTTGGGCCTATTGCATTATATTTTCATAAGCATTTGATTTTTGCCCATATTTTGTATTAACTTAGTCAGTCTTAGTAATGGATCTGACATCTAGTCAGCATCTATCATCGGTACATGTCACGTTTCGAGCTCACTAGCATGATTTGGGACGGGTTGTGTCATTCTGATACAAAGGCTTCTTCAGCCATATGGATCCTGGAAACACCATGAGGTTAATTTTGCTCAAACTTTGTCTCTCATCTTACTCCAGAGGTTCTAAGCCAAAACCCTTTGTCCATGTCTCCACTACGCTGGGAATGGCAAATACAGCTAGCTTCTCGACCCTCAAAGACTTTAACATCTAAAGTTGAAATTGAACTGAAATTACTTATATGCATACCATAGCAGTAGACCCAGAAACGCTATAAAACTCACTCAGAAAGAACTTGTGCACAAAAGTTAAATGTGTAAGAGCAATGCTAGAAAAACAGGGTTTCAATGCAGGTTTTAAATCCAGGGCACAGTTGTCAGCAGGGCATTGGACACTTGGAAAAAAAGACAGAAAATCACCCAATCAGAAGCCGCCACACTGCACCTGGATTTAAAACCTGTTGCAAAAGCCTGTCAGACTAGTTTAACTCAATGTGTAAAGACGGAAAATTTAAGAAAAAAGATTCCAAGCGATAGAGAAAATCATGAAACATCACTCTAGGGTACTTTAATACAACTAAGAAACACTCCAAATTACAGAGATCTAAGATACACGATTATCTAAGAAACCCAGTATACAAGAGAGATTTTCCATATAAAAAAATCTCCATACTTATGCCCCTGAAGAAGATAAACTTCTTGCCATCATATTAGATATCTGTTTCAGTCAGGCAACCCCAAGTTTCCTTTTTTGAATTCCAGAAACATTTGCAATTTACTTCGTTCCAGTTCAGTCGAGTTTTTAGTTACTATTTTATTCCCATGAAAGTTGTTGCAAAAATATAGACCACCAACAGACTATACATCCCCCATAATTTGTTTAGACACAAGCGCGCGTGCACACGACATAAAAATTAGTAAACAATCATAGTGGAGAATGAATACTTCTCACGCGTTGCATGATGAATGCTGATGATCCAAATAGATAAATTAAGGAAAGGACCATTCTACAAGTACATAGGGGGCTACATAAGGGTGTCCATAATGGACACCCGGCAGCCCCTTATTGGAGGGGGCGCCCGGCCCATCGACACCCCCTCCAATAGGGGGCCGCCGGGTGTCCATTATGGACACCCTTATGTCGCCCCCTATGTTCAACAAGATTTATCCTTAAGGAAAAGGACCATTCTACAAGTACATAGGGGGCTACATAAGGGTGTCCATTATGGACACCCTTATGTCGCCCCCTATGTTCAACAAGATTTATCCTTAAGGAAAAGGACCATTCTACAAGTACATAGGGGGCTACATAATGGACACCCGGCTACATAATGTAAAAGGACCATAAGGATGTCCATAATGGACACCCGGCAGCCCCCTATTGGAGGGGGCGCCTGGCCCACCGGCACCCTTGTACAATTTTGGGTTACAGTCTTCTTGACGGTAATTCAAAATTTGGACACTGTAGCGCGGGAATGACAGGGGGAAAAATTGCAGGGAAAAGATGAGAACAACCACGTTGAACCTGGCCCATTTCCCATTTCCCTAATACGTTGAACCCACAAGGGAAAAAAGACAAAGTGACCTTCTTCTTCTTCCCAAATCGAACGGCGATTTGCAACTTCTTCACCAAATCGATCAGCGCTTAGCAACCCGGAAAATCGGTTGGCTCCTTACCCCTAAAAAGACGACCGACAACTGGCTCGTTACAACTAAAAAGACGACCGGCGTCCGACACTTTACCCTCAAAAACCGGCAGCGAAAGGCAGGTTTCTTTCACCTCTGAGGTAATGGCTTCGACGAATTGCTCCTTATTTGTGGTTTGTTGCAGTGTTCTGGATTGACATTGAGATTCCCCTCTTGTTGCTCGCTGTATATTGCTTCATTTATTTGTTGATTTGTGCAACAATTATTTAGTTTTAGTCTTGGAATTCCTACATATTTCAACGAAATTCCAATATCAGGAAACCTTTGTGCTGAAACCATTTTTGTGACAAATTTTCAGGATTATACTTGGTTACGAAGAACCTGCATCGTGGGAAGAGGTTGAAGGAATGACCGACAAAGGTAATTTCCATGATTTTCTGAATTTTGTAGTTTGTGACTTTAAGGAATCTGATATGATGAAACTTGTGTATAAAATTGGAATTTCTAGTTTTTGAATGTAAGGAATCTGATGTGTTTTGCTTACTTTGGAGGAAAAGAACCTCCCGTATGACCTCCTGAAGCTCGTTGACTTCGCTAACAAACCAGAATGGTATTTATTGTGGTTAATTGTTGCATGAAGATATTGTCAACATTGTGATGCTAATTATAGAACGCGTCTTAATATAAAAGCTTATGTCTTTCTAAAATGTTTCTCTACCAATAGATCCATGTCATTCTTCTCTTTATTATTGAACTATGCTACTTTCTAAATACATCAAATGCATTGGTGAGTTTAAGTATATTCTCAACGTTGTTAATTACGCATTCATTTTTGTGATTTTTGTATTGTTAATTACGCATTCATTTCATGTAGTGTGTTGAGGAAAGTCATGCAGTTACACATCCCTTTACATTGAGGAATGTGGCTCCTCCGTCGTCAACACATATGGCTATCAGTTTTCAAGGTTATTTTACGGTGTCATGTATATGCTTATCATTGCATTCATTCCTTCCCGTTTGTGTTGATGATGTTTTTTTTTTTTTTGTTAGGTACCGCAGTACCGCACTACTATCCACATGTAGCTTATCAAGCTGGAATGGACTTCGTCTTATTTGACGCGTCACAACAATCTGCCACAGATGATGATGTTTAGATGTAGTTTTTTTTTCCCCCTTTTCGGATGGTTCCTTCATTTTGCATTTCTCTCAAATGTAGTTGCTTCATTTTGATGACATTGCAGATTTCACCTTCAACTTGAGGTTCTCATTTTGTTAAATTGCCATCTAAGTGTACCTTACTTTCTTCACTGTCATAATGAATTGTATGATGTATGAATGTAATTCCAATTGGTAGAGCAGTTCTACAATTCTATTCCAATTTGTATTGCTCATTTCTTAATATTTTTCTAAGGATTCCATTAGGATCCATATTGGCTATTCATATATATATCATTTATCACATGATTTAGAAGAAAACTTTTGCAGCCTTGTGATTGATTGAGTTCCAGCCATAATGTTGGCCTAAATTAAAATTCTCATCTTTGCAACCGAGAAGCTTGGTACCAACTCCAGATTGAACTGGCAAGTGTTGGCAACCGAGAAGCTTGGTACCAAGTTCCAGCCATAATGCTTGCCCAATGAAATCTAGAACCTTTAGAGTAAATGAATTGAAAATGAACTCAACAACTGAACTGTATGAAAAAGCAAAAAAGGAGGAAAATATAAGTAACTGCTTCTGCATTTCTTCAAAGATCCTTACATAAAGATAATCTACTACAAGAAGTGAACTACTAGAATGAGACTGAAATGCTTCAAACATAGAGTACAAAAAAATATATATCCGGTCACAAAAAATGGAGTATAATTCTATTCCACACAGATGTAACATACCAACTAAGATAAACATAAAAAAGGACAATTTTTCTGGCCGAAGGATGATTAATATTGAAGATCAGTAAGAGCACTGCAGAAGCCAATTTCATTCCTAGCCATTTATTTCTTTTTCCTCCATCACTCTTTTGATCTGCACTTGCTCCTTTGCTACTTGCACTGGGATTCCCTTTAAGTAAAATCATGAAAAATAATTTAAAAAAAATAGATCTTAAAAAATATGATATATTTATAAGAATTTGTCCAATTCTTACCGTCAGGAGTTGCAGTGCTGTTACTTTTCTTGGCACTGTTTGCAAAATCTTTACGGAATCCCCAAATTCAAAATCAAAAATATGCTTCCTCGTTTTATCTTACCAGAAGCAAGGAGTTACGGGATGGTATACAAACGTCAGGCGAGAACAGAAAGCGGTTGTCGGTATGGCGGCGACCGGAAATAACGATCTCGTGTTCTCTGGTTCGTGATGCCCCGCTTCGCGCTACTGGAATGGATTGGATGGAGCGATCTCGTGTTCTCTCATCGCCAAGGATGAAGACGACTTACTTGCCGATGGCCGGAGGTGGCGACCAGTTCGACGGCGAGGATGCTCGTCGTTTCCTCGTCTTCCCAAATGACGCGTACAGTTTTGGAAGGATATAAACCCGGGAAATGCATGAAAATAACCCAAATATGTTAGCCATTTTTCAAAAGGGTAATTATAATCACACCACAATTAATATATATTTTTAATAACTACACCACATTAAATTTACATTTATACACCTAATTCAATAAAAAAAAAATTTGAAAACAAAAAATCAATACTGTGGTGTACTTAACACCAATAGCCTTTTTTTTTTTTAAATTTAAACTCTTTGATTGAAAGAATAACTATCTGGCTTTTTAGCTTTTTATTCTCAACATTGTGCTAATTCATATATAAGTCAGCTGTCGAAGACAAAAGACAGATTTGATACCTCCTCTCCAGTCGCAGGAGTGTATGATTAGATCTACAAATTGATCTTACTTGCTAAGTACCAAGAATGCATATATAGCAAGGCTACCAAATGATATGATATTAGCAAGAGAAGACAGTCCATGAATCATTCTGAATTTCTTGTTCATGGCAGCAAGTTTTGGGTTTTTCTCTGCAACTTCTTGGTTCTTAGTCGACCCAATTTCTTCCCCAATTTTTGCCTCTCTCTCTATCTTATGCCTTTCCTTCATCATCTCGATGGTCATGGGTGTAAAGATGATGAGATTGCTGAGATTGAAAGCAAACGCAGCGAAAAGGAATCCCAGTTGGTACTTCTCGGCAGCTGCTAAGGTTTTCCAAGGATGCAAGTATCCAAAAACCCCCACCGCAACTGCACAGCACACACCCACCATCGAGAAGTAAGCCGGAAACATCTTACTCTGCAAGTTCCTAAATTGATGCCTCGGCAAATTCTTGAACATGATGATGCGGCCGATGAAAGTCACCCAGAGGGCAGCGCCCCAGGCAGTTGAGAAACAGAGAAGGTGGGCCAGCTTCAAGAGGGTAGTGAGTCTCGGTGGATGCTGATGAAGTACTGGTTTGCTTTAAAAAAAAAAATCCAACTTGTGGTGTACTTAGTAAAGAGAGAGAGCTGATGGACCCTAATTAAGTAATTTAATTTAAGGATATTTAAGTAAATGAAAAAAATGTGGTGCACTTAGTGAAATTTGTAGTGGTAATATAATTACCCTTTCCAAAATGACCTTTAACTTTTATAAATATTTTGAACTACCTAAAATACCCTTTAACAAATATTAAAAAACAACCATTTACCTAATAAAAATCTTCTATCTAATTCCTTAAAAAATTAAAAAGTAATTTTTCTAAAAATTTGAGTGAATTATTAATTTTTTTTATTAATGAATAATTATAAAATAGAAAAACCCAAATATAACAGAGGACTATATAATGTAAAAAATGTTGTTAAAAATAAAAAAGAAATTAAGTTTGAAAAAGAAATTGATAAGAGATGATATCAAGAACAATTATATGCATCACAAGAAATCTTAAAATGTTTCAAAGAAAACTTATTAGAAAATTTTGCTAAAGGAATTGTAAGATCAATAATCATAAAAGATATACAAGATATAATAGATAAATTGGAAAAAAGAAAGAAAAATATCTCAAAATACGATATACCTTTTAGAACAGATATAGATATGATAACAGATATTGATATAATAAATTCTCAGACATTATTAGACTTTGAAGAATTACTTAAAAATTTATGAGAAGACCAATAAAAAATAAATTACCACAAGCATACAAAAAATTAGTTTTTATCTTAAGATTTTATATACACCTAATAACAAAAATAAAAGAATTTTTTGGAATATTAAAATTTTAGTTTTTTAGATTATTAGATTTTTGTTCGCTCATAGTAGACCCGTCCAGTTGGTATCAGAGCCATATAGATCATGGAAATCATAAAAATAAATGATTATTATCAATGTATTGAAGAAAAAGGATGTTATATATATTACAACCCTATCCCTAATAAATTAAAAATAATAACATTATACATAACTAGGGATTTACCTAGAGAAATAAAGGAACAAATATTACATAAATTAATTGTAGGATTTATCAAAGATAGACGTACATATGAAATAATTATCGAAGTATTTGAAAATGAATTATACCATAGAGAAATATATGAATCATCATAAAAATATAATGGAAAAAACTAAAAATATTTTAGAAAGAAAATTAAGAAGAATAAGATTAATAAATAATAAAATTTTAGATGAATTATTAATACATGAAGATATAACTAAAACTCAAGAAAAACAGATATTAAAATTAAAACAAGAAAGGTATAAAGAAAAAGTAAGGTATTATGAAAAATTAAAAGAACTAACAAAAATTGAAGTTATAAAACAAAAATATGATAAAATGATAAGAGATTGTAAAGATACTGAGTATATAACATTTTATTATTGTTAATCAAAAAATCGATAAAAGAAAATGTCAATCAGTGAACATATGGAAGAATTAAAACATTTAATAAGAACATTAATAAATGATGTACAAGAAATAAAGAATGAAATAAAAGAAGCTAGAAATGATATAAATATATTAAAACTTGAAGTCAGAAAATTAAAACAAAATAAAGAGAAAAATAATAGAATAGATAAAAAATTTATAGAAAAAGAAATAACCAGAATAGGAAAAAACATATTGAAAGAGAAAATATAATAATAGAAACAGGAAACATGAATGATGAGTTTAGAAAAAATATATTACCTAAAATATTAGAAGAAGAGGAATCTAGAGAAAAAATGTTAAGTAAACAAAAAATTAAAGAAGATCAAGATAAAGAAAATGAATGAAGAATTAGACCTACTTATAGATAATTTTGATCATTTAAGTCTAGAATGTATAGATGATGAATACCAAATCTTAATAAATACTGGAGGAGGACCTAATCCCGTAGGAACCTCTAAACAAGAATCAATAGATACAGATGAAAGTTATGCTCCGATGTATAATAAACTATATAGGCAATTTTATGATAAAATAAGAGATAAACAACCATCTAAAGGAAATAAATATAGTAATAGATTTGAATTAAATAATAATTATGATAAACCTGTTAATCATGGAAAAACAAAATTAGATTTAGATTGCAAAATAGACACTAAGAAAGCCTTAATAACTTGGGCAGACTCAATGATATTATTCTTTTTATATAATAAAGATGATACATGAGAAAATACTGAAAGAAAAATAGATTTTTTAATTGGATCTTTTGAAGGAAATGTTAGAAATTGGTGGGAAGGAATTAGTAGTGATACAAAATCATTAATAAAAAGAAATATACAAACAGAAATAATAAAATCAGATAAACTAGGAATAGAAAGATTGGTAGAATATATTGCAGATGAATTCTTAGGAGAAAATTGATTAAGAAATTATGAAGAATAAGCAATACGAGAAAAAGATAATGCAAGAGTTAAGCTAATTAATTTAACAATCTGTGATATGTGTAAAATTAAAGAATATACTTGTGAATTCAAAGATTACTATTATACTCAATTTTATAGTAATGAGAATCAAGAAGTATATCAAGATATGTATTATAATAAATTACCAGGATCATGGGGAATATATTTTAAAATAGAATTTGAAAAATATATTAAAGAAAATATAGGAATACCTAGAATACTAGGATCAAGAATAAAATTCTTATTTGAAAGACTTGCATATATATATCAACAAAGACAATTATTGAAAAAATCAGGAAAATTAACTAGAATATGTTGTGAAGATATAGAAAAATCTACAAGATGGGGATGTAATTCTGAAAAAAGAAATAAAAGAAAGTATAAAAACAGAAAGTTTAAAAAATATAGAAACTTTAAGAAAAAATACATAAAACCTGGAAGGAAATATTACAAAAGAAAAAATAATACACAGAAAAATAAACCTTATAAGAATGATAAGAAACAAT